CTTTATTTCAGTGGAACCCATAAAATATCTGTACTTTATATTTCTGCTCCCTGCATGGATTACCTTACATTTATCTGTGTTAAATTTCATCTGCCAAGTATCAGCCCAGTCGCTAATTAAATCAAGATCCCGTTGTAGCCTCTCTGCTGCTAGATCAGTATCTGCTACACCACCCACCTTGGTGTCATCTGCAAATTGAACCAGTTTACTGTATGTATTGCTGTCAATATCATAAATGTAAATTAAGAACAATAGTGGTCCTAAAATTGAACCCTGCGGTACCCCACTATGAACGCAGGCCCACTGTGACATTTATAAGTCCATTTAGCGTTTTTTCATACTAATTTTATAGCTGGGGCTCCTGCTGAAAGTGGCAACCCTAGTGTTGGATAAGCCCCCCCAATGGTCAAAAATGGTCTCTGTCTCTGCTAGGTCTGCGTACCTCAGGGTGCTGCCACCGAAGTGCAGAGTTTATGAAGCTCCTCCGACAGCAAAGGAAGTTGGTCACTATGCCGGAGAGATAAGACATTCCACGCTCCTAGATTGAGACCTGAGGTCTGCCGTGTAGTGCACAACACCAGTCCCGATCCCCAACAGGACTGACGATTGGCTCCTCAGCGATTTGATTCTTCAGGGGATGAGGCTCCTGAGATCTTTCCCCCTATAATCTCGATCATGATTGCAGCCTTCCTGTGGGCAGCTGCAGCAGAGCTACTCACGTAGAGAGCAGAAGACTCCTGTCTGCTTTATCAGAGTGTGTGAAGTTTTTACGGTGGCTAGAGTGCCAATCCCATCACCAACCCCCAAACTTTTTCCCCCCAAGTTTGAGGACTGCTTGCAGAGCCAGATGCAATTTTGACATCATATCTAATAAAACTATTCAAGGGTCAAAATACACAACACAAAGCACAATACAAGAACATTCAAAGAACAATCAGGTTAGTAGAGGTATTCACAAAATAGATGGTTTCTACAGTGTTTCATGAAGGTAAAGAGGGAGTCTGATGGTTCGTCAGCTCATTCCACCAGTCTGGAGGCATGGTTATTATAGTTTTCAGATTTGCATTAGTTTTTATTTTCATTTAGTTTTCCAGTTTTAGTTCAGTTTCAGTTTCTTGTAAGAATGTACAATGTACATTTTCAGTTCCTTTTTTACTTTATGAACATTTTAGTTTAGTTTTTATTTTCAGTATTAACTTTGGTTTTCAGTACCACATTTTGATACCACATTGGAAGTGAGTGACTTACATGCTTTCACTCTACACAAGAAACAGCTAAAGAAAAAGTGTGAAGCATTTTGTTTTTTCTGCCTTACATTCCCATCCAATCCCCTCACCTTTCCTGCAACACCATCATGTTCTTATAGCCATGAAGGACCTGGGTTATTGATGCTCCAATTCCCTGAGCACAATAAGCACACACTTGGGGGGATGGGATTTGGCACTTCTGGAAGTTAAGTCTACCTGATTGTTTCCCAGTGAACTTCGCCAAGCAACAAAGGAGATGCAACTGCAATCGTGTGTTGTAGTCAGATGAGACATGAGCTTTTTGACCAGACACATCACCAAGTTTGGTGAAAAAGGGAACTGCACACAGAGCAGGACACGTCATACAGACGGTGAAATATGGTGGCGGCTCTTTGATGCTGTTTTGCTGCCAGTGGTCCAGGGAATCTTAAGGTCAGTGGCACAATGAATTCCATTAAATTCCAGAACATTTTAGCTGAAAATCTGGTTCTCTCTGCGTGACGGGCTGAAACCGGACTGTAGTTGGGTCTTCCAGCAAGAGAATGATCCATAGCACACATCAAAATCAACAAAGAATTGAAGAAACTCAGAATCAAGATTTAGTGATTGTCTTCTCAGATTCTTCAGTTTGAAAATTTGTGGTGTCACTTGGAGAGCAGTTCACAAGAGAAAATCCAAGAATCTCCACGATTTGGAAATGTTCTGCATGGAAGAGTGGTCAAAGATCCCTCCAGAAGTGTTCTCCAGCTTTGTTAAACAGTACAGAAAGAGGCCGTGTGCTGTCATTGTTGCCAAGAAAGGCTCAACCAAACACTGACATTTGCGGTGTCAATATTTTTGGAATCTGCCTTATGAAAATTTGTTAGCAAAGGAAAATTTGTTATGTCTGTCAATAAAAGCATGAAGTTTACCGAAATGTTTAAGCACAAAATATCACTCAATGCATGTGTGGTCCCTTTTATATATAAATTTTTAATAAGCGGTGCCAATAACTATTCAAACATGCACTCAACCAACAGAATTGACCAAACAATAGTCTTAAGACATTCTGTAAATGATCTGAAGATTCACTTTTAATGTGTGACTTTTGAATGAAGTACACAAAAAGGGGGCAAAACAGTCACTTTATTACCAATAAATACCAACTGGGGCATTTCCAGTTCCAACACGGCACAATCCTTACTGCATTAAGAGGAAAAAATCCAAAAGAATTTTCCGTCTTTGCAATCCACAGCTTTATTTCATCCGCTGGTATAAACTGTACAAACATATCAAATGAACAGTTTGACCTCCTCGTTTCCATGGCCTGCTTGTCTTCTACATCGTCAGCTCCTGAAAACACAAAAATGCACATTAACATACAAGCCAGACCTCGAATGTGTTACAGTCCATTGGGGAAGACGATTCAAAAGTCTTACCATGATGGCATTGACGATGTCGTTGTTGTTGTTCTTGAGGGCACGCACTGCCTTTGCCCGTGAGACGTTGGCTTGTGACATCACAAGTTCAATGTCCTTCACCTCAACCCCGGTCTCATCAACCTTCCAAATCACAATAAATGTTATCAGCCAGTTTCTGTTGCACTGTTTAATGTTTCAGAATAGATTTTGGCACCATTTTAAATACAGAACAAACTGCAAAAGATTAAACCTCAAAGAAATAGTCACTAGGAACCTCACCTCCTCCTCTTCACTTTCCTCCTGCACAGTAGGCGTCTGTGTGTTCTCCTGGATATTTGAAACAGCTTCTCCCTGGACCTTGAACTTCTCTGCTGCTGCCAGCTGAGCTTGTTGTGAAAGATCCTCAATCTGCAAAGGGAAAATAAGTGTCCTCATAACCGGATAATACAAATTCTCCATTCTAAAAGTGTTTCAAAACATAATCAACTAAACATAATTCATTGATTGAATCCACTGTTCAATGCACACATGTACAAAAACCTTCTGAGACAATTGGGAATAAATGAATGTTCCTCCTCAGGATAAAGATTGGCTTCATTCAGAAAGAGTTCAGAAGAACGAAAGTCAAAATATTTTGATCATCATAGGAGGACTGAAGTTTAGTCTAAAACAAGCTGACAAGCCACCTAATAGACAATACTAGTATGCTGAATATTGCTGTCAGACCTACCTTGGCCTCACCAAAAACTATGTATGTGTCAGACGCTGGACTCTTGTAGACATCCGGCTTGGTGATGACAAACAAGATGTTCTTTGACTTTCGGATTGTGACCCTGGTGACTCCTGTCACCTGGCGGAGACCCAGCTTGGACATAGCCTGAAAAGTGCCATATCAAGTGACCACCCACAGCAAACTCCTGGCACGAAAGGCTCTGCAATTAATTACATTTAACAGATACAGGTGCAACTACTGCAAAAAGTTTGGCTTTATCATACATAGAAGTCACGCTTAATCATGGTTAATCGTTCACAGAAGGAAAACTGAAGTCTCATCAACTAACACCTAAAATACCCCCGACTAACTGAAATCAGACGCGTTTAAGCACCTTACCTTCCGTGCTTTCTTTTCACTTCTGCTCTGTTTGGCTTTGCTGACTGGTTCCTCATCAATTTCTGCAGCTGCTGCAAGCTAATGGGCCACATGGAAAGACAAGGAGTTCACTACGTTTTATAAAATGAAGCAACCCAGACTAAGAAACACGTGATCAGTAACCACAGTGTCACTGGTGTATGAAAAAGGTAGTATGGTGATCACAAGAATTACTCAAGACATCATACTACCTTATCTGCCATGATGACTATAGCAGATACACTGTACATGGGTCAAAACAATGCATTTCAGAGTACTTTACACAAAACTCAAAGTAAAGAATAACTTTTGCGTTGCCGATTCATACCTGTGCCTGTTGGGATTGCACTTGTGCAGAGTCTGCCTCCTCAAGGTCCGGTACTGACTCATCGCTGTCGGACTCCGTGCCAGACCCTGCAGGGAGAGAGGGGGGGGTGAAAATCAGCAAACACACTGGCAAATGTTTAGTATTTGTAGAGATAGAGAACATGCCAATACATCCTTCAGCAAGGAGAAAGGCAATACCTTTATGCAGGCAAAGAATATCAAGGGTAGTCTAATAACCAGCCGATCTGAACACACAGGTGAGTAAAGCCAACATATGCAACACTAGCCACAATACAAAGTTCTCTACAAAATAGGCACATTAGTTGTAAAATGGCCAGATATCTGCCACAAAAAAAATGTCCAGCTTCAGTGTGCCGAGTTCCTAGTCAGCTCATCAAAAAAAGAAAAAAAAGAAACCTTCACAGTAAGATTCTGGAGCGTTGTGTTGCCAAAAAAGAATCTATAGATGCAGGAAGAATGCAGGGGGGGGGGGGGGCAATAAAAAAAAATGGGGGAACATTTCAGTGTTATTAATCACCAACAATTTGGACCACTAAAGAACATGGTAAGGTTAATTTAACATCATATAAAATAAGAGTAAAGAAAAATACTATACAGATGTTCCCTCAACGTTAACTTAGAAGTGCTGGGGCACTGCAGTCTTGGGGTTATTATCAATGTTGAGCTATTGAAACTAGCCTGGCTTTTATCACAGGCCACATGATCATGATTGGGCCAAGAGAGTCTATTGTCCAACTGTATGTATCTAAAGTAAGCCTAGGTGAAATGTGTATAATTAAAATAAACAGCGTGCCCTGTCTTTATATAGAATAAAGTCTAAGACTTACACGTGTTTTAGTGTTATTTGAAATGAAAAATTACTGTTACAAAACTCATTTAACAGAGCTCAGATTGAACAGAGGGTTGGGGTTGTGGGGGGTATTGTGGTTCTGTCTTATAGAACCGCGAAATGAGATCATGAACGTTTGTATTGTAGTTTCGGTCTCTGTTTCAGAACCGTTACACCACTAACATGCAATTTATACTTGAAGAAATAATTTTAACACACACACACATTGTTAATGCAAGTCCTCAATTTCAGAATTTCACCCATGCAGAATAGAACCCCTTCTGTGCCAAGTGCAAAGTTAAGAGCGATCACACACAGTGAAAAGCAGAAGGCAAAGAGGAACAGCAACCTTGGAAACCTAAAACCAGATCGCAGGAATAATTTCAGATACTGTGAAATAAACACATCAGATATCAGGGCTCCAGACTAACTTTTCCAGTGGTAGCACTGGTGCTAGAAAAAAGAAAAAAAAACAACACTTCTTTCAATCACAATTCGTTACTGCAGTATCCGTGCCGGAGCAAACCACCCTAATGATTAACATGCACTCACACAGATGCAACTATTCTGGTGGCAGTCTGGAGCCCTGAATAACGTTCACAAAATATACCTGACCAAGAATGAAAGTGTGCTCTCTTTCCATTTCATTAGCAGTCAAAGAAAAGCATAACAGCTTTTCAATCAATGCTTTTATGAGTAAGGGGTTCCAGCACAATGGACCAAAGTCACACTGCATTGGATTTTTAGTGTCACAAGCTGACCAAATCCAGTAAAATTAACTTGAATTATCTGGCCTTTGCCTTCCACACTATATGAGCACCCTGGAAATCACTCCAAATTAGCAGGCAAAAAATAAAAAAAAGTCAGATACCCTTCTCGTTCTTGATCACAGGCTCCAGTTTGGTAGTAGCTGGAGGGGGTTTATGGAAGGATATGGGTACTACAGGGGGAGTGGGTAAAGTGATTTTCTCCTCAGGTGGAATGAGAGGGGGCAGATCATCATCCTCCTCTGGGGCCAGAAGCACACGAGGTTGAACATATGATTTAGCACTGGGTACTGGGAGGTTTGCAGAAGCAGAGGGGGGAGGCAAAACACTGGCAGATTGAGTTTTCTCTGCATCAGATGAAGACAGAGAGGGTTTCGGAGACTTATCAGTAGCAGGGGGAACTGGAACAGCATCAGAAGCAGGAAGGGGCATGGCCATAACTGGGGTAGCCTCAGGTGGCTTCCTGGAGGAAGGAAGGTCACCTGGAACAGCTTGACACTCCTTTGAATTTGCAGTGTCAGCCCGAGGTGACAATTCTGGCTCTACTCTTTGGGTTTCACTGGTAGCTTTAGGAACACCAAGGGCTTTGGTGTCAACAGGAGCCTGAGTGGGAGCCAGAGTGGGAGCCAGAGTGGGAGCCAGAGTGGGAGCCAGAGTGGGAGCCAGAGTGGGAGCCTGAGGGGTCACCTCTACAGCTACAGGGTCAGCAGCACTCTTAGAGGAGAGCAGGGGGTCAGATTTAGACACAGAAGTAGAGAGAGACTGAGCAACAGATGGAGAATTCTCCAGTGACTGACAAGCTACTGGGAGGTTACTGATGGGAGCTGGTGCAGAGCCAGAAATGGGAGAGGAAATTTTATCTACTGCTGGACCAGAAGCTGGTGTAGGGATGTCAATTTTGGCAGGCTTTACAGAAGCTGGTGTAGGGATGTCAATTTTGGCAGGCTTTACAGAAGCTGGTGTAGGGATGTCAATTTTGGCAGGCTTTACAGAAGCTGGGAGACTGGCTTGCACCTCCTCAGGCATGGCTGCAGGAGCCTGAGAAGTAGGAAGTATGACATTAGCTGGACCAGTCAACTGAGCCTTTCCAATGGGCTTCTCCGCCTTAGCCCCCAGCACCGTGCCACCTTTAGCCTTTCCCTTCCCACTCGTCTTGATAACCTTGGGCTGAGGGATGGAGGCGGTTCCTGTACCAGAAGCAGGAGAACCAGTTGGAGGCACTAAAGGAGAGGGCATGGCGGTAGAGAGAGCAGGGGGGGACACTTCAGGAGCGTCGGAGGATGACAGCTTGGGAGAGGAGGGAGAGGAGTCGGAAGCAAATGAAGATGAGGGCTTGCTGGTGACAGGCATGGGCTTGGAGACAGAGGAGGAGTGTGAAGACTGCTTGGAGCCACTTTTAGCTTCTTTAGCTTTAGGTGTGGACACAGCACTAGCAGAGGAAAGTTTCTTGGAATCAGCAGTAGTAGCTGGAGAAAAAGGAATTCAATTGTACTTTTGATAAGAGTGCTATAACATCACAAATAGAGCACAAGGAAACATCTAGAGTACTATAAGACGTATACACTGAGAATCCTAAAACTGCCAATAAACATGCTTTACAGGATAAAAAAAAAACCTGATACAAATTGGTGCAATTTTATGGGAACTGCTATTTGTAAGTAACTATACAATAAATGTATCCTTGGAGGGTTTAAGCCAGATATCTAAAAGGGCACAGAAACAAAAACAAGCTAACCAAATACCAGAATGAAGTGTCAAAGGTTCATTTCACACCCGATTGGTCAGTTAGATCTGGATATCTCAAAATTTTGTTCCCCTGGGAAAAATCACAGTAATTTTCCTTTGGAAGGTTTAATGACCACACGGAAGAATGTGCCTTCTTAGCTAAGTAGAGTGGACAGCTAAGCTTCAACAAGGAACAGAGACACAGAAATGAAGAACAGCAGGGCAAAAAGTCAGCATTAAAATCTCTTCTCTACCTGACTTCTCTCCAGTGGCCGCAGCAGGAGCAGCCAGCACTAAATTTGGAGAATTCAAAACATTATAATGGAGAATTTAATAAAGCACGACAAGGATCACTCAGGCATGTCAAAATTAAAAGATAAGTGAGACAAAAATATTCAAAAATGTAAGCTGTTGACATGCCACACACACCTAAACAAATTAGTAACCATTTCAGGAGACAAGCACATGCACTTCGCACAAACAGCAGCTAAGCAGACACACGAGGTCTGTGGAACGACATTTTCCGTAACAGTAAAAATTACAGAACAGCCCAACGGAACAATGCAGATACACAGCAATGCCTACTCCCTAGCAGCAGAACCAGAACAGCAAATGGGTACCACAAGGATAAAAAGTTTGTTTGCCTTGGGAAAAGCATCAGATTAACGTAAAAGGCCCATTTCTCCATTACATACAACCAAGACATCCCAGCTGGTGCAAAAGTACTATGCAGCATGACAATTTTCTAGCATGCAGAACAGTTAGTACTGGGCCTGTGATCAGTAGTCAGTTCCAATCCCAGGGTGGGCAGAGTGATTTCACCTTTGGGCCCTTAATCCTAAATCTGTCCAGGGCCAGTCTGTCCCTGGATAAAGGCATTTGCTAAATAATGTAAACTAGAGGTCGACCGATATATCGGCCGGCCGATAT